ACCCGACTCGGGGACTATCATCCGATAAAAAATTGGATGGCCCGGGCTATCGAATCTCGGAGGCACCGAGCCAATTAGGCAGGGCCCGAACATGAAAGGTCACAGCCGCCCTAAAACGGCTCGGAGATGTCTGAAATCTGTACTCAGAAAGTAAGGCCCTTACGTATAATTAAAATATGTTAAACGGTTACCCTAGGCAAAATATCGTCGCATATGATTAAAACACTTAACTATCTTAAAGGCCTTTGATTTTTATCAAAATTCGAAGCCACGAGCAATACAGAGTTACCATCGAAATTGGGCCCCATTCAGGCTTCCAGAGAACGGATGCTCCAGATTATGTCTGATTCTATGCTAAGGCATTAGGGACGATACACAAATAAGAAACTGCAAATAGATGATGAAAAGTAAAAACACGGTGTTGCCAAAGGGAAATATTTTATATATATCTCAAAAAATATTTACAAAGGAATGATAAATGGCCTCAAAATGAACAAGAAAGAAAATGTACAAAAACGGAACAAAAGAAAAAAGAACTAAGGCATCTCTGCCTGATCTTCATCGGAGCTCGACTCGGCACCGGAACCTTCGGGCTCATAAAGTTCCTTTGCCTCAGCCTCAAGCCTCTTGGCTACTTCAATCTTGGCCAACAGGTCAAATCCCTGGGCGTGAACCTCCTCGAGGGTCTCCCTCCAAGACATCCTCTTTACATACTCGGTCTTCATTCTTAAGCGGGCCTTGGCTATCTCCATATCAATTTTATACTGGGCCAGCATTTCCTCGACTTTAGAGGAATCAATCGAGGTTGCTTCCAATTTGGACTTTAGCACAGTATATTCCCGACGAAGGGAAACCCGTTCAGAGGCGGCTAAATCTAGTTGTGCCCGGAGTTTGTCATTTAGCCGAGACCAGTTGTCGGCCTTGTCCTTTTCCACCCGGAGCTTGTCCTTGACCGATGCTAACTCCTCCATTGTAGCCTCCTTTTTTGAAGCTAGAAGGTCCATCTTGCTCCTCAGTGCCTCAACCGTAGCTTTGACCTCATTCATCTCGGCACGAAGCTGATCAATCAAGTCTATCTTCTCTTGGACTTGCGAGGTTGCGTCATTAGTCACTACGCATAACCTCTTGTTTTTAAACTAAAAAATCCTTACCTTCTCGACCAGTTCTGCATGCTCCCATTTCACGGACAAGGCCTCCTTATATGCCTTTTCCAGCTCGGCTCGAAAAATTGGGAGATCCTTGAGGGCCTCATCTTTTTGTTCATTGAGGACCCTATACAAGTCCTTCTACTGGACTTGATCTTTGAGCTTGAACTCGAGCTTGCTGACTTCCATTCAAGACCGAAGGAATCTTCCATGGTGGAGCACCGAAGCCTGAAAAACAAACGATAAGAACGTAAGAGCATGCAGAAACTAAGAAAGATTCACAAAGGGCAGAAGGAATAGACAACTTACCCGGTTCAGTGCATGTTGTGCCTTGTTGAAGAGTCTCAATGTGCCTACTTCGTTCATCTTTGCCTGGCCCTCCTTGGTCGCCAGCCAACAAAGATAGCTGGATCACACCCACTGGAGAGGACTGCTCCTGGACGTCCACCGGGAGAGTAAACACGACCGTTCTTTTATGTCGGGATCCACACTCGGGGCAGAGAACTACCTCACTAGCTTCGGGCTCGAGCTCGACTCGCTAGCTCCCGACGGCATGTCCTCTTTTGGGATTTCTAGGTGACCAAGCCCGGAATAATCCACCAACGCTCATGTCCATGACGTCGAAAAACTTGTCAAGGTCATCATCTGAGCCCCAGGCCGTCTCATTTGATTTCTCTTTATCGGCTTGAGTCTCGTCGAACATAGACTCTGTGTGAGACGACGACTCTGCGATGTCGATGACACCGACGACTTTCTTCGTGGCAGGGGTGGTTTCTCGGGATTCCGTGGACTCTGATTCTCCTTCTGGCTTTCGAGCTAGAGGGAGATCGGCCTCTCAGCCACCTTCTCTGGTTTTTGCCTGTTCTCCTTCATCGATGGTCGACCAATGAGCGTCAAATTCTAGATCATCGTCCTCAGGGTAATCCCTAAGCCGAAAGAGGGAATCGGAGTCTGGTACCCTATCTTTGGTACTTTTTCTATTGCTTTTCCAGACCTAGACAGTTACCCTCTTCTTCTTGACCTCAGCGTCCAGGGAGCCGGAGGATTTCCTCTTTCTCTACTTTTTCTCCTCATGTGTAGCAGCTCCGGGTTGTCCCGAAATTGAGGGTTCAGCAAGCGAGGACGGGGCCTCGTCCTCATCCAATGGTTGAAGCTCAGTGGTCTTGGGCAACCTGTAAAGGGGAAAAAGACTTAGCAGAAATAAAAGTTAAAGTATGAAAATGGAATTGTTTGGGAGGAGGACTCACCATGGGAACGTGCCTCCCACTTGCCCTTTGAAAGCTTGCGCCATTCGCGCTCAAAATAAGATATTTGTTTCCAGATCCTCTCGATTCACTAGTTTAAACGGGGGACTGCATTGGGAACTTGGGCGACCCTTGCACAATGGTAGGCACATGCAATTAGAAAACAGAACAAAGGAAGTACTAAGTACTCAGGAAGAAGAGAAAACTTACGAGATGAGTTCCCCTTTTTCAGGGAACGGTAAGAATTCGGGGGGAATGAGGTCTTCGGTTTTCACCCGAACGAACCTACGCTGCCAACCTCGATCTCGATCTTCGTCGATGCTTGAGAATGGAGCTTTGCTTGCACGACGAAGGAGCTTGATCAACCCACCCTCCCCCC